CCCTGTGCGGTGGTAACAGTACAATCCCTGCTGAAATGACCAGTCCGGCCGCACTTGAAACAGCCAGACTCACCACCGCTACCACTCCTGCACGCACCCCCATGCATCCTGCCACACTTCCCGCACCGACTGTGGTCCTGATAATCCCTCGATCTCGAATACGATCCCTTGGGCCTTTTGCCCGAACCTGTGGTTATCTGAACCTCATCCGGCTTCCTCTTCCGGATATGCTCCAAATCAATTTCTCTCTCTCTAGCCCACGCGATCATATCTTCCAATGTTTTGCAGCTGGACCTACTCACGAACTGCCTGATGTCATCTTTCAACATCTCGTGATATCGTGCCTTCTTCATATCCTCACCCGCAACATACTGCGGAACAAGAGGGGCCCTCTCCCTGAACTTGGCGGTGATCTCCGCCATAGTCTCAGTAGTCTGCGTCAAATCCTGAAACTCGCGTGCCAACTGCTGCACCTCAATAATCGGTGAAAACTCACCCCTAAACCTGGTTGAGAAATCGCTCCATGTCATTGCGTCCAACGTGGCATCATCACCAATGGCATGATCAATCTCCTCCTACCAATCCCTCGCTCTGTCCTTCAGAAGGCAGGAGGCGAGTTTAATCTTGTCCCCCTCAGGGCACCGGATCGTACAGAACACGTTGGCAACATCAGCCAACCACCTGCTACTAGCAATGGGGTCCCTAGCCCCATGATAATCTGGTGCCCCACAAGCCCTGAAATCTCGGAATGTCAAAGTACGCACTCCCATCAAAGCCATCATCTCGGTACGAAAGGCTCCCAACCTCTCATCCAAGATCTCCAGTATACCCTCCTTAACCATGCCAAAGATCACAGGAGTCTAGTTTAGTATGTTGCGCATAACCTCAGCTGATATCAACTCCCTCATCCGCTCCTCGAGCTGCTCGACTCCTGAACTCGAGCCTAATCCCTCCCCGGCGCCTGATCCGCCCACTGGTCTCTCTCGCAACGTCACCATGCTGAAAATATAATACATCCACTTATCAGAATACTTATCACTGCTGCGAGACCAAACACACGCACTACCAGTTTCCTGGTCTCGTCTCGGCCTTTCCCGAATCGAGTACGGATCCTCTGCTTTAAGTAGTACGGGCCCATACTACCTTCCACATCTATCTGTACTTTCCTCAAGAACTGCTTCGACTCCACCAGGTCCCTTTTCCACTACTACTGCTCCAAGCACTACCTCATCCTAGGCTTGCCCTAGGGAAATCTCTTACTCAAACCAAACCAGTCCTCATCCGCTGAAGGCCTCCTTATGATGCCAATTATCCATCACCTAGATACCATCACATGTGACGAGGCTCGGATAATCCTTCGAGTAAAAGACTTGTCCCTACAACGGTTGGACTCAAACAAGAGCTGCACAATAGGGCCAAATCCAGCACTCTGAGATTATTCAACCCTGATCACATTACTTAAAACATATTTATCAATCCATAACATAATCAGAGTATTAATTTCCGAAACACATGTTCATTATCAGAGTAAAACATCCCAGGCGGTCTAATCTATGGTGTGTGCCATGCGATCACCTCGAGCTCTTTCCTCCGCTACCGGAAGTACCTGAAACCAAAACTAAAAACCGTAAGCACGAAGCTTAGTGAGTTCCCCCAACCTACCACATACCATGCATAAACACATATTACACATACTGGGCCACGCCCGCTATTCTGGGCCTCTCCCCTACCTCGGGCCTCGCCCGCTACAATGGCCACACCGCTCCAGGCCTCGCCTGGCTTCGAGCCCTGCTCAGGTACAAATTTGTTTCACTTAGGCCTCACCTGTCACTGGGCCTCTCCCGCCAACATCTACTAACTCATAACATATCACAACACATACACTAAACATATACTACCGACTCCTGTTCTAAGGCCTCACCCATGTCTTGCAATTGATGAGTCATGGAACCCCGTCCATGCTCCTACTGATAGTGAGATACGTGCCCGACCCACACTCACTCCTTCACTAACTTGGGCCTCGCCCCTACTCTGCTGCTAATGAGATATGGAACACCGTCCATACTCTGCTGATGGTGAGATACGGGACCTCGCCCACACTCACCTTCCTACCAGACACATACATGTATCATACAGACAACAAGTATAACTATCATGCACTATTCCTTGGGCACCCACCTACTAACATTGGGCGTCGTCCTGAATATCATAATAGCATACTGTGCCTAAGGCTAACCCCCGGGTCTTCCTACTCATGACTACATGGGTCGGCATTGTGGCCGTAGAACTATCCACACAAAAGGGAAACTCACTTGCACTTGTTGAACTTGCTGATACCCCTCTAGTTGCTGCCTGACAACTCTTTGAACTGCAGCTCCACTAGCTCCCCGAGCTACCAATATTAATATAGCACTTAGTCTAACTGTCCTTCGAAAGTCAACTCTGGTCAAAGTCAAAGTCCTGGTCGAGGTCAACCTTCCAAGTTAACCCTACTCGCCGAGTCTGCCTACTGACTCGCCGAGTTCACACGCTTAGATTCCTTCCATTCGCAACTCGACTCGCCAAGTCAGACCATGACTCTCCGAGTCCACCGATTTCCGAGTCCTATCCTGTCCAACTCACTGAGTCTCCACCCGAATCACTGATTTGAGTCTTACCTCGAAGGGTTTGCGTTTCGCGACCTAACTCGCTGATTCAAATAACATACTCGCCGAGTCCAAGGCAAACTTCAACAGACTCGACGAGTTGCTCATCCAACTTGTCGAGTTCCTCCTAATCTTCATGCTACTCGTCGAGTCCACTCGAAGGAATCGCCGAGTATATTCAGTCTTTCATACATTCAGAAGCTTTTTCAGTCATGCAGGGACTCCAAACTGTAGATCCATTCTTCCAAGGCCTATTCCTCACGTAAAGTTGCAAACTTTACGTGTAGCTAAGGAGATCTAGGCTAAACACACCACAAACTAAGGTTTAAGACAACCATGCATCACCTATACTCTCAAGGCTGATACTTTATGACTCTCTAGGCCAAGACACAACTGGAGCTGAAGGGATTCATCTTAGGGACGTCCAAACCCGAAATGTATCATACTTGGTCCAAAATCTCATAAAGAGGGACATGAAATGATCCAGGAATTAACAAGGCAAGGAAGGAACTTGATTACCAAAAATGAGCAGCTAAAGAGATGAATCTTCTGGATCCACAACCTTCCTATTGAACCCTCAACTCCTTCTTCTCCTTCTAGGCTTCAAGAACACTCCAACTCTTCAATAATGGCTCACACACTCAAAGAGAGCACTAGGTTTTTGTGGAATAGCTTCTGGACAATGGGGGCTACAAATGAGGCTGATAGAAGGTGAATGAGATGCTTAAATAGGCTACAAGTCCCGGAATTAGGGCTTTCTCAACCTAGACCAGACTCGCCGAGTCAGTCTCCCCGACTCATCGAGTCAGTCACTTAAACCCCGACACGGATCACGCTCCGACTCGTCGAGTTCTTCCCTGGACTATGCGAGTTGACCCTTTGACTTAGGGTTTTCTTTACTTACTTGGCCTTTCTGATCTTGGGTGTTATAATGAGGGTTTCAAATGCATGAGGTTCAATGAAAAATGCTAGCTTTATAAGTATGTATGGTATGAATTAAACCCAAAACAAAAACTAAACATAGGAACGGTCCGTATTAAAAGAAAAAAGTTGGTGACCCCAAAGTCCCAAACCATAGGGTCTTTTCGTGTAATTTTATAAAACTAAAGTTGTGTTGTATAAGATAATTACATGTCCCAAACCATAGGGACTTTTCGTGTAATTTTATAAAACTAAAGATGTGTTGTATAAGATTATTAGATAAAATATGCATTATTTTGTAAGATTTGAAAAGTAATTCATTATTCGATTATTTGCGCTAGGGGTGTTCGTTTGGATAGATCAGTTTGATCCGTTCCAATGAAGTGAATCCAAATTGATTTCGGTTTTCAAAACATGGATCTGAATAGTCTAAACTAAATTCAAATCTGATCCGGTCCGATCCGATTACAATTCGGTTGGATCAGTTTTTATAATTCGGTTTTCAAAAACCAAAACATTTAAAAACGACATATAATTATAATATTATCTAACTTTACACAATAAACAAAAACAAATTATTTAATTGTGATTTGAAATTTATAAACAACTACAAAGAAGATATATTATAGTTAAATATTTTGTTGATAGAAAACTTTGAGAGAAAACGCATAATAATGTTTTTTTATCGGGTAAAACGTTTTGACCATATTTGAAAAAATAAATTACAAAATTAATAAATAACTATAGATATATATTAGAAATAAATAAATAATAAATATTTATTCGGTTTTTTTGGATTATTCGGTTCTTATTTTATAAACCAAAACCAATCCGAAATAAAAAAATAATAATTCGGTTTTGTTGAAAATTCATCCGAATATCCAAATATCCAAACCAAATCGTCCAATTGAAAAATTCGGTTTTATCCGAATAATGGACAACCCTAATTTACACTTCAAGATCCTTAAAATCAAAATCAGTTGTTAAAAGATTAAGGTTAAAACATTAAAATTAATCATCAAAATCAGTTGTTAAAAGTTTAAGGTAAAAACATTAAAATTAATCATTTATAACTTAAAATAATAATAATAATAACAATAAGATAATTAAATGAATTGCACCTCTATAAACACAAGTAATAATATGTAGTATGTTACATGCTATATGTCGATCAATTTGTATTGAATTTAAAAAATAAAAAAAATAAAAAAATCATAAATACTACTAGTTTTGGAAACACGAATATTTGAATCCGTCCAAGATTTTATGATTTGACCCGTGAATGTCTTTTATCTTTACCATCTCATTTGAATTTCATTCCCCTCCCTTCATCCCCAAAACTTTTTGAATAAAAAAGTTCTGATTTTTATGAATCTTTTAACATGAATCGCAAAAGGTTCTCACTAAATATTTGAAGAAGAAGAAGGCGACGACATGTCAACAGTTTGGTTTTCTTTAAAAAAATCATTCCACTGCAAAACGGATTCTTCAGCAGTCCACGACCCGAAATCCAAGAACCATTTATCCACCATCTTGACCCGAAAACCAGGCAGATGCGGTTGTTCAAGATCCATTGCAAATCTCAAAGATGTCATCAATGGCGGAAGCAAGCGGCATTCTGAAAATACAGTCAATTGCAGTCCAAGATCTATCGGAAGTAGCGATTTTCCAAATCCCATTACCCATGAAGTAATTCTCAATAGTTCAAAATGCGAGCTCAAAATCACCGGATTTAATGGAGGCGCCACCGCTGATGGATCGACATTTGTGGGTACTTTATTGCCCGGCACACCAAGTCCCTGCGCTAACCCCGCAATGCATTTCAAGAAAACGCCATCAAGAAAGATGATAGAAAGAGATGGGAATGGAATCGGAATTGGGAATTCCGGTCATTTAGGTGTTTTCGGGAAGAACAGTGCACTTGTACAAAAAACTAGACACTCATCTGATAAAGAATCCGAAGAGTTTTCCGGCGAGGGAGTCACGTGCCATAAGTGTGGCAAGCAGTTTGGCAAATTGGAAAATCTAGAAGCTCATCATCTATCCAAACATGCTGGTATAATCTTGAATCTCAATTATTAAGTGTTATCATCATCGAAATTTGATTATATTTTTCAGAATTATAATCGGTTTCTCCTATTTTTATTGTGGCTGACTTTAAAACATTCTGTGGAATACGTTGCAGTTACAGAACTTATGGAGGGTGATTCCTCGAGAAAGATAGTGGAAATCATTTGTCGTTCGAGCTGGATAAAGTCCGACAATACCTCCGGTAGAATCGAGAAGATCTTGAAGGTCCACAACATGCCAAAAACCCTAGCTCGATTCGAAGAGTATCGAGAATCAGTGAAAACGAAAGCTAGCAAATTACCCAAAAAACACCCTCGTTGTCTCGCCGACGGGAACGAGTTACTCCGTTTCTACGGCGCCACAATCGCTTGTTCACTAGGCATCAATGGCGCCTCCTCGAGTCTGTGTGTATCGGATAAATGTTGCGTTTGTCGGATTATACGAGACGGGTTCTCGACGAAACGGGAAATCAAGGGCGGGATCGGCGTTTTCACGACTTCGACTAGCGGCAGAGCTTTTGAATCGATTGAAGTGGTTGAAGAAGGGCCGGATACACGGAAGGCGTTGATTGTGTGCAGGGTGATCGCCGGGAGGGTTCACCGGCCGCTAGAGAACATCCAAGAAATGGCGGGGCAGTCGGGGTTTGATTCGTTGGCCGGAAAATTAGGACTTTATTCCAACATCGAGGAGCTTTATTTGCTTAGTCCCAGAGCTCTTCTCCCTTGTTTTGTGGTGATTTGCAAACCTTAATCAAACAAAATGTTCAATCCTTTTTTCATACGTTTCTCTTTAATTTTTTTTTTTTTTAGGGAAAATTACAAAATTAGCCTAATACCTTAATTCCGTTGTGAAAAAAAAAAAAAAAAAAAAAAAAAAAAAAAAAAAAAAAACCGAAATTGCAAATTTAGCCACTGAAATCACAGATGAAAATAATCCATCTACGATTTTGCCATTCCATCTGCAAATATACAAACGCCTAAAGCACAACTGCACTTGTATATTCGCAAATAGAAGAATCTATCTGCGATTTTGTGTTCTACCTACGGTTTTGTCATGATTTGTGTATAAAACCGTTTTTTCCCTTTATTTTTCACTTTCCAATTTAGAAAAACTCTCTCTTCCTGCGATTTCCTTTGACAATTTCTTCAACAAAATGAACGATTTTTTCAATAATCCCGAAAATATGGTAAGATTTTAACTCATATTATGTTTTAATCGATATTTATTTAGTGTATTTTTTCATTATTTAAGGAAAAACTACAATAAAATCCCTACATATTGGTCTCATAATCGATTTAGTTTCTATATTTTTTTATTCAATTAAGTCCCAAAAACTGGTAATCGTATTCAATTTAACCCCTTGATCCGGTCAACAGGTCATCCAACTTTCGAAATTTACATTTTTTGCCTATATTTCAAATTTTATTACAAATTTGGTCTAAATTTTACACTTTTGGCCCAAATTTTAATTTTTTTTACAAATTTGGTCCAAAATATACCCTTTTGGCCCAAATTTTAGAATTTTGTTATGAATTCATCCTAATTTTAGTTATTTTTACAACTTTTTTTCTTCAAAAAGTATACTCGTCTTTATCTTATATTATTTTTGAAGTGTACTATGAATTTAGGTAGAAAATATAATAATTTACATTAAAATGACAGTTACATAATGTTAACAATAGGTCATTCATGTTGTGGCATTGTTATCACACAAATAAACATTATTTTTACACAATAAAGAGACTTAAATTAGTGAAAAACAACTTTTAGTATCATTATTTTTTTTGAAGTGTACTATTAAGTTTAAGAGCCAAGAAGGACTAATAAGCACATTGTTGTTGACAATAAGCCATTTATGTCAATGTAGCACTATAACAATGTTATCGTAGCACTATAACACAAAAATGCATTGTTTTTACAGATAAAAAGAAATATACTTAATATCTTATGTTATTGAAAATGCTCTAGAAACCGTCAAAATGTACCATGTCAACAATACATAAAACTCTATCATTTGTAAACCTAGCGACACTATTGATAAACTTTGAAACGTTTATAAATATGACAATATTTTTTTATTGAGCTATTAACTAAGACAACGTACTTTAAAAAAGTTTACCTAATGATGTTGTGCTTTAATATCTTCGTTGAACTTAAAAAAAAAAACTTTGTATTTGGTTTATGGTTAGATAGGTTTTCAAAATACAATGTTATAATAAAAATCAATGAAATTAAGCACACTATTATTTCTTGCATTTAACTATTTCTTTATTTATCATATGTCTTTATGTTGAACATAGAATAAAAAATATATATTTTTTAACATCTTAAACAAGTTAAAAAAGAAAATATTAATAAAACTCATTGGTATAAGTTGAAAGTACTGAACATCTATTTTTAATATTAAATATAACTAAAAAGATTACATTTTTTTTATTAATTACTATGCTTCCAAACGCAAAACATTTGAATTCATAAAGAAAAAACATTAGAATTTTTTTTGAAGAAAAAAAGTTGTAAAAATAACTAAAAGTATGATGAATTCATAATAAAATTCTAAAATTTGGGCCAAAAGGGTATATTGCGGACCAAATTTGTGGAAAAAAAATTAAAATCTAGACCAAAAGTATAAAATTTTGACCAAATTTGTAATATATTTTGAAATATGGGCAAAAAATGTAATTTTCGAAAGTTAGATGACCTGTTGACCGGGTCAATGGGTTAAATTGAATACGATTATCGATTTTTGGGATTTAATTAAATAAAAAAAACATATAGGGACTAAATCGGTTATGAAACCTATATGTAGGAACTTTATTGTAGTTTTCCTTTTATTATTTGTTCTATTACTTTTTGTAAAAAAATGAAACTATATTATTTGTTATTAGGTAATTGTGTTGTATTTGATAGATATAATATTGTTTATTAGTATCCTTAATGTTTTTATGCTATTTTGTTAGTGGTTGTATGAATATACAAATATAGACTGCGTAGAATGTGCATTACCTTGTTGTACATTTAACAAAATGGTTAGAATATGTTGTTATTTTTTTAAGTTGAAAATTTAAAAAAAAAATTGTTACAATAATGGTTACAATATGTTTGGTTAATGATCGTTTGTATATTTGTCGTATAACTTGAAAAATTGTATATAGTATATTTTTCGTTTAAGTTTAAAAATTGTTACAATAATGTTTACAAAATTGTATACTTGTCATATAACTTGAAAAACATATATATATATATATATATATATATATATATATATATATATATATATATATATATATATATATATATATATATATATATATATTTTTCAAGTCATATGACAAGTCTCATAATACAATTTTGTAAACATTATTGTAACAATTTTTAAACTTAAACGACAAACATACTTCGAATATATATATATATATATATATATATATATATATATATATATATATATATATATATAAACCAACTGCGAATGTACAAGTAGTTAAAGCATATTTGTGTTTTAGCCACTTATACATTCGCAGATGGATAAACAAAATTCCATCTACGATTTAAGTGGCTAAATTTGCAACTTTGGTTTTTTTAGCTATTTTTTTCAAAAAAAAAATTAATGTATTTTGTTAAATTCACAATGGTCTTTTATTTATTTATTTATTTAGGGTCATTAGTTTACTACGTCTTCTTTTGCTTCGTTTTTCAAACTTGGGAATATACTTTATTGGCACAAGTGCACAAGGTTCTTTGTGTATAAAATACAAATAAATATACTAGTAGTAGCATATTTTGTACCCGAAAAGTAGCTCTAAATTTTCCAAACAAAAATAATGGATTTTGGAATTGGAAAAGTGGATAGTGGTCCTAGATCCTTTAGAAATATAGTTCATGTTACTTGTTATGGACCCAAATTTTTATATTTTTCTGTTTTGGTTTGGTTTGTGGGGCTATGAATTAATTGAACCTCCACCTTTTATCGGAACAACTCGCTCGTTTAGATAAGGTTGTGTCCTATCTCTTTCTTTTAACTTTTTAATCTGGTTAATTTAAAAGTATTCAAGAAAAAATGTGATTGTAAAAGTTTTATTTAGAGAAATACGCATTTCCACTAAAAAAAATAGAAAATTTTCATTTTAAACTTCGAAATATCATATTTGATCAGTTTAATTTTTTAATATTATTTTAACTTTTATAAACCTTCAAAATATCATATTTACCCAAATCGTTTTTATAATGTTTTTAATATTTTATAATCATTTTTTATACCTTAGAATTGTTATAATAATTAAGAAATTTAATCATATTATCTTTACGTCTATGATAATGGAATGCAAACTTCTAAATTGTTGGAATGTCGGTCTCTTGATAGACAAAAATATTCATCTTCAACCCTTTTTATAGAATGTATATTTTGATTGTTTACTTTTTGTTATTGTTGATTATTATCATGTTGTAGATGAATGATATTTTAGATATTACCATTGATATTTTAATGTTTAAAAAGTGTATATACGAGATTTTGATATTTAAAAATGACATATATGTTATTTTAATATTTAAAAAGGACATATATGATATTTAGAAATTTTATAAAGGGTAAATATAGTAGTTAGAAATTTTATGAATGGTAAATATGATATTGTGAAATTTTATGAACGGTAAATATGATATTTTAATATTTAAAAAGAATATATATACAACTCTTCCTAAAAAAGGTACCATGCAAATATTACACGAAATACATAATAAATATTGTACAAAACGCTCAAATAAATAACAAAGAGTTAGGATATCGGCAAGACTAATGCAACATCACTATAAAATCAACCTTATAAACCCAAATGTGGGTATAAATGTACAATAAGTGAAATTGCACTTCTATTTCGTAAATATCATTTTTCTGTCTACACAAAATTGGGATTACATCCACAACCAGATAGAGAAAGGAGAGACACGATTTTTGGTTACACAACGGAAACAAAGGGACTTCATTTGAACCCTAATTTCCTGAATCAAGACCACACCAAAACCCGAGCTATGTGCTTTAGGTCAAAATGGTCAAATATATTACATAACAAATAAAAAAACAAAGAGAGTTAAACAAAATCAAAAGAATTTTAAAAAAAAATTAAAGTATTTAAACTTCAACCGAGTCGGGTATGCTGTCCATGGATTCGGCCCGATGGTGTTCACTATTCATTGAGTTTTGGCGAGTTGATTGACCGATGGTGATAGCAACTTCTGATGATGATAATGAGGAACGTCTTTTTTGATGCCTTTTGTTTTGTATTGTTTTCAAGATATGAGACAACACTTGTACGTTGTCCCTCATTGATGGTCTTTTTCTCGGTGATCGGTTGACACATTTGTACGCGAGTGCCGCCACGTCATTCAGTTCCCGCTCATCAAAATTCCCGTCTAGACGCGAATCCGCTATTTCTTCCCATCCAACTTGCCCTTCTGTATTCAATGCCGCCTATTGACCACAAACAGTCACATTCCATTACTTCGCTTTTTATTTTTATTTTTATTTTGTTACCTTTGTTTGTCATTCCATTCTATTGTACCAATGGAATGGAATCACATATGAAGAAAATAAGAGAGAGGGGGAGAGAGATCTTACTAGCTCAACATACTCCATGAGACCTTTTTGAGGGTTTCTTCCTGCAATAAGCTCGAATAGTAATACGCCAAAGCTGTAAACGTCGCTTTTCTTGGTGAATGCACGTGATGATATATATATATATATATATATATATATATATATATATATATATATATTCAGGATCTAAATACCCGAAAGTTCCTTGAATATTTGAGGCGTTTCTATTAATCATGTCTTCTCGAGAAAGCCCAAAATCAGCTACCCTAGCGCCCATCAACTCATCTAACAGGATGTTGGAAGATTTTATATCTCGGTGTATAACAGGAGGAACTGCCTGCAAATGTAATCAAAACATGTTTCTTTTTTTTAGACCAATTTCACCATTTTACCCTCGTATTACATAATCAAAATTAAGTTAAAAAGAAACAACTTACTCCATCGTGTAGATATTCTAATCCCCTTGCAACATTGAGAGCGATTTGAACCCTCAAATTCCAGCCTAAAAGTTGACGGTTTTCGTTGTACAAATGAGAAGAGAGACTCCCTTTGCTCATGTAAACATATATGAGCATATGATGTCCCTTTTCTGCACAATATCCTACCAAATTCACAAGGTTCCTGTGATGTAATCTTCCCAATAACATAACCTCCGTATGGAACTCTTTCTCGCCTTGTTTTGAATCGGTTGCAAGGACTTTAATAGCAACAGTTTCACCGGTTGTCATCTGAGCTTTGTAAAGAGGTCCAAATGCCCCTTGCCCTATTATTGACGTGAAATTACTTGTTGCTTTCTGTAGATCTCTGTTTCATCCAGAAAAATAAAGGGAAAAGGGTAAGAAGATTGAAGTTAACAGAAAAAAAAAGTAAGACTTACTTGTAAGAATACTCGAGGATTCCTGAAGCTGCAACCACGTGAGATTTCCTTAGTCCAGTAAACCAAAATGAAATGTCGTTGTGTATAGATGGTCTTGATGATGTCTCCGTACGCATTGATGAATCGGATAAAATCGTACAAGAATCTGCACCATTTGCGCGTATGGGGATGGTTGATGCTCTTCTGGAACTGTTGTTACCTATTTGAGATCGTTTCCTGTGAAACCTAAAGCAGAGTAGTCCGACTATGGCTAAAATTGCTCCGATTACCACGCCAATTGAAATACCGATGATCAGACCTGATGACTTCGCTTTCATCTCTTTGATGTTTCCTACGCAAGCAACTAATTCATCAACGAACGGGAGAAGTATTTGTTACACATCTAGATTTCAATTATGGCCCAATTCACTATTATTGGAAACACGGTTTCGAAACTTTCCAAATTAGAAAGCCAGATGTGGTTTTGTACTTTCTCGTGGAAGCTAACAATTATGATGGGTTTTGGTCATAAGACATCCTATGTGCTCATACAAACCCTAATGCTTGGATCTAGGTTTCTCTATTGTACATGCTTTGAATCCAAGACTATAAACCCTAATTCTAGCATGCAAGTAATCATATTAACATAAGAATGAGTTTATAATGTTACCTTGATTGTTATGTAGCAATAACAATCCCAAATCTCCTTGATTTGACTTTGGAAGGCTTAGAGTCACAAGTGTCACTCCTCTAATGGCTTACAAACACCAAGAGCAAATGGAGAAGGTATAAAGAGAGAGGAGAGAGGTTAGAATTCATCCTTAGGACTCCTTGGGAACAAGTACACTAATTCTAAGGCCTTAGGGTCTTTATATAGGTGTAGAGATAGGGTTTCAGTCATTATCCTTATCTAGTTGCTTATCCACAAAGCAACCATAAGATAAGCCTTGAAAACCCTTATCCTTTATCCTTTGGACAATTTCAAGGATACTTATCTCCTTGAATTCGTTCAACCCATATTTAGGATAACCATTACCATATTTTGTAACTATCACATAATTACAATTCAGCCCCTCTAGTTTAATTAATTACACTTGATCACAAAATTAATTCCTAATTAATTATTGACCAATATTAATTAAGCAAATATGATTTCTCCTTTAATATATTATTCTTATAACATATTAATAAATCATAATAACCTCTCTCTCTTTATTTATTTCTCCAATCAAGTTGCTTTGGTGAAGGCAACCCAAAAGGACCATGCACCATCGGGTCAAGTACATACCAAAATAGTTATGGACTTAGACACTAATCCAACAGTCTCCCACTTGGATATGTCTAACAACTATTATGCGTATGACTTCAGATCCCGATCTGCAATCGTAGCTTTCCAAAGCCACTATCAACTCTGATCGTATCAGATATGCGTGTCCTTAGATAAGGGATCATATATTCCTCCATTCTAGATATCATATGAGATATGATTTCAAATCATTCTCTTTGTACTATATCTCGATTTCCGATTTATGACGACAGACTAGTTGAACAAATCAAATTAGCCCTAGCCCGGCCGAGCATTTACGTTTGTCATCACTAAACCATTGAGGGGCCCAAATATATCGCTTTTATCCTTCTTTGGATAAAAGGAACGGATAAACTTTGATACAATGCTTGCTTGCACTTACTAACCAAATCACACACAACAATATGTTTTATAACACCAAGTTACTAGTGAGTTTACATATTATCAATGTGCAACCGATTAGCAAGATACAACTCACACATCTCGGTTTCAAGAATATAAGATGTTATCGTCTCACCAATCACTCGTGATATAATTCATGGAGTTGTTTAATTATTTTAGTCAAAACCGATTCTAGTCCTTTTTCCCTCTAAATGCGCTATACATTTGGAAAATTTTAGAATGGTCAAACATTAAAGCATTTGCAATCGATCCTATACCCGAAGCGTATTGGACACGATGCACAATGTTTTATTTGCTATGTTCTCAAAATTCGAATTGTGAAGAGGAATGTCGTAATCATAATCGAAATTTTAAGAACACACTATGTACCTTTGACTAAATTTATCAACATTTCTCAACCTAATCCTTTAGATTTGAAATGAAGCATAATATTCTCTCCCTTAATTATAGCAAAACAACTTTACAACCCTTACGACTTTGCAAGGTATAACTCTTGTTTTTCTATAATTAATATTGCCAACTTGCAATACTTTCTATAATAATCATACAATCATAACTTTTATGCTCCCACTATCATGATGATTACTATAAAACATAACACTTATGCTCCCACTAGCTTCGACATGTATTCATAAACATCTTAACTTTCAGAAAGACAATACCTATTGAATTTCTTAAGTCCATGTTTCTAATACTTAGTGCTTTGATAATCTTTTATCAAGGCTTCTTGAACTTATACACCTTTGCCTTAGATAGTTCATATGCGTGTCTTAACAATTAAGACTAATTGCCAAACCTCACAATTCAAATTATGGAAAGGGATACCGTAACCATGATCGAATTCGAGAATGCAATTTTACAATCACTATCTTCTTAAAATCTTTCTTAGTGAAAGCATTTCCTCACAATCATTTTCATGAAGGAGGAAATCTTATGACACTTAGATTTAAATGGTGTATTTGTTCCTATCCATGTGAATTTGTTAAAACCAAAGTTTACGACAAATTCAAACTCATATGGACCGAGCCTTTTTTTTAATCTTGATTTCTTGCCTTATGGTAGCACAGCTGCCCACCATGTCTTCCAAGTAGTTAAGCAGCTCACCTTTTCCTATCAATGTACCTTTCCTTGATTAAGGTGCCTTGCCTTTTATGCATTCAAGATGAGAACTCTTAGGACTCACATGCATAATTAACTCAATTGGAACAACACAGAATCAAAATATTGTCAACACGATAGGTTGTAAACCTCAACTCGTGTGCTAGTGATGATCGATAAGGTTTATTTGATTTGTTCTTGAAACCTTTCCAGACCAATAGGACTCCCACTGACTCTTTGACATATAAGATTCTTTTGTCAATAAACATTTCTTGACAAACAAATATTCAAGAGTTAGTGTAGTTTTTATCAAAACACTTCATAAATTGGTCCTAGTCGATCTTTGTCTTATTCAAGACATCACAACTTTCCACATTTGATAAATGTTATAAACCTTTAATACTTTTCACTCATTGTCACAATCTTAACTTTAAGACTTGTTATTGGAACGAAGTATGATAGACTTCTTGATTTAACCATTTCTTCAATCCTTGATTCCTCTTCTTAAACATACAATTGTACTAAGACTTACTTGGAGGATCAATTGAGACATGGTTCTAAAGTACTTAAAATTACCATCATAGAGCTCCTGTACATATATTGTATTTCCATACAAATCCTTATATAAGCTAGTATGTATATATATTGCTCCGACAAATACCCAAAGCAATATTATACCGATAGATATTTTTAAAATACTTTATTGAATTCACATTAAACCAATAACGAACAATGTGTTTATTTATTAACAGAATTTTATGATATGATGATATCTAAGAAAATGAATGATGCCGCCAAGGGAGGGTGCATCTTCGATGAATGCCTTGAGTATGGATAATGATGTCACCCAACCCAACGTCCATCTTAGGTAAAAGTTTTAAGCTTTGTTTCTTCAAGATTGTTTGTTAGGTAATGCGAATTTGCACCAAGATTGACCACCATAGATAAAAATGAAACTAGCAAGGAGCTAGAAAACAATTACGAAAAGTTCATGGGATTTTGGAGCCAATTAACCCACCCTATCGAACATCTACTATTTCTATTTGAATACCACAAAAAAATTATAGAATCAATTATCACACATCTTCGTATCTTTCCTGTTTGAAACACCATATCATTCCGAAATCTCCCAATGTACCAAAATGTAGTACATGCAATCGCATCAGCCACCCTTCTTTTTCTCGAGTTCAACATGTCATTATCAAGGAAGCTAAATAACCCATGAACCGTATCAAAATCAGAATCATCAATGTTGAGCGAGGAAAAAATATTATTCCAAGTTCCAGCTGTCATTTCGTACCTAATAAAAAGATGATTGAGTTGCTCCACCTCAAGTTGACATGTCGGACACAAAATTGAAGGAACATCCCTGTTTCTTTTTGTTAAGTTACCTCAGGCTCGAAGTCTATCCAATAAAACACACCATATCAAAATATTTACCTTTCTTGAGACAAAAGGATTTCATATAGTTTCCATTCCCAAGGAAGGTAAAACTGCATCATCAACCCACTTCATAATCTCTCCAACTGTGAAACACCCATCGACACCAATTTCCCATACCCATTTATCCTCTTGATTAGACAAAATAACATTCTGAATATACTCCATCAGATCCGAAAATTGAACAATTTATTCACCCATGTGTATATGATGTCACCAAGACCAAGACCAATCTCCATTAACCCTTCTATCTGCAACGGTACAATCTTTATCCAACTCTAGCTCAAATAGTATCGGGAATCTAGTCGCCAAAATCTCATTGTCTTTCCATAATTTAGTGATTTTCTCATTACCAACTCTTCTCTTGATGTTTATGAATAGAAATCAAAACCCGAGCCCAAGACCCAGACTCAATACCTCAACTTCGATTAAAACCCCCCACTAGACCTATACAACTCATTAACAACTTTCACCCAGGACAAGTTATCATCATTCAATAATCTCTACCACCATTTCTGAAGAAGATCCAAGTTAAAAGCACCTAGACTCCCAATATCAAGACCACTCGTTTTCTTGTCTGCAAGCATCACATCCCATTTAACTCATGACATTTTACAAGTATCCTCTTATTCTCCCCAAAAAAAACTGAGCACGTAAAGCTTCTAGAGTCTTAACCACTCCAGCATTCATGAGAAAAAGAGACATGAAGTAAATTCCAAGAGACATGGAAACAATTTGAGAAACATGGATCGACCTCCAATAGATAGAGGTGACACTTTCTATTTAAAAAATTTCTTCTGGAACCGATCAATAATGACTTTCCATCCTACCTCCTTAGACATATTGTGAATCACCGGAAGACCCATATAGATAAATGGAAGTTTATCTGCCCTGCATCCCACACCAGAAGCAAAATCCTCCACCTTTTTAACTGAAACACACACTGCATAAAGATTGGATTTATGTAAATTAGTATTTACACCAGATACCATGTAAAAACAGTGAAGAACTCGAACAATGCTAACGATATTAGAACAGCTCCACTCACCAAGGAAAATCACATCATTCGCATAAAATAAGTGTGACATCCTCAAATTATCTATGCCAACCTGCAGACCATAACAAAAATTAGCCTCCTTTGCATCCTCAATGGACACATGCAACCATTCTATAACGAGAATGAAGATGAAAGGAGATAAATGATATCCCTATCTCAAACCCATGTGAAACTGAAACTTTATTCGTGGGACTTCCATTGAGCAACATAGAAGACTTAGCAAAGATTAAACATGCTTGAATCCAAGACCTCCATTTAACTTCGAAATTCATCAACCGCATGATGCGATCCAGAAAGGACCAAGAAACCATATCATATGCTTTAGCAAAATCAATCTTCAGCAACATCATTTTCTTACGCTTCTTCTTGTACCACTCAACCACCTCATTAATAATCATCAAACCTTCTAAAACATGACGATCCTTGACAAAAGTTGATTGCTCACAACTCACCACCATATTTATAATACCAACCAACCGTAACACAAGGATTTTAGCAATAATCTTATATTGAATTCCAATGAGATTAATAAGACGAAAATCATTCATGACAAGTGGGTTATCAATCTTATGAATTAAAGTAATGAAAGAAGAATTGCATCTTTGTGGAATTCTAGCATTTTGAAAAAAAAAAAAAAAAAAAAAAAAAAAAAAAAAAAAAAAAAAACGCCGTAAAATCTAGAATGTCTTCTTTAAGAATCTCACAATAAACCTCTATAAATGAGAAAAATCTTCCGGGTTTGGAGCCTTATCATTGACACATGATCAAACAGCTTTTTTGACTTCCTCAATCATAACCACATGCTCAAGACGGAGATCATGAACATTCGAGAGAGCTTTAAATCAAGATCTCCTCCCGACATCTTCAACATTTAGAATTTTTTTTGAACTTCTCACGAAAATGATTCAAAAAGAGTTATTTCACAAGTGTTAGATTCGTGGCCCACTCTATCTTTTTCACAAGTGTTAATTTCATTAAGACGACTCAACGGTCTATCTTTTTCTTGGTTTCTTTTAGCTTTGACTTCACACCATGACTTTCTTAGAATATCCTTTAGGCCCTCTGTCCAGCTCTCCCTCAATCTAGTCCAAAATGCCTTCACCACCTCATCAAAACGTATTCTATCTTCCATGAATTATAAAATCTAAACGGACGAGGACCACAATCAGAAGCTTGTTGGGATAACCTAACCAGTCTGTCTATGATAGAACAAATCAGATCCAACGCAGTAGCATGCAAATTTGGATGATGAATGTCTTCAGTCAATAAGAGTCGATAAGAAACGATCAAGCTTACTAGACTTAGCTCCATTTGAACTTACTCAATTTTAGGAAAAAACACTCATAGGAATATCACATAGACCCACCTAAGAAACAAAAGAGTTAAAATCATCATCAATTCCTTGAGAAAAATTCCAACCCAATCTCTCACCTTGATTTCAAGTGGCATTAAGTCACCAAAAATCATGGTTTCATGTTGCATTAAAGTAACCAATAAATCATCGTTTTAGCATCCTCCTGCGGATGCATAAACATTGACTGTGAAACATGTCAATACAGATACCACCCACCCCCCTGCACAATGACAACATACTCCGTACAAGTAATTTTCTTTTTAATAAAGACGGTTGGATCCCATAAAAAAAGAAAACCCCCGACAACCTCAGGCTGAACTAGACGCAATAGTTTTTAAGTTTATAAGTATAATTAGGTTGAATATGAAGTAATACATATCCATATGGTTAATTTATGGTTTTGTGCATAAAAGTATGGTTATAAAAATCGTACATCCAAACATGGATGATCAGTATCCACGAATACAGACGGGGATTAAAAGAGATCCACGACTTTTCTCCACAAGTCGAAAGGGTATTGGGCTCAACTATGTCATAATACTTGCAAAATTTTAGTTTTAGGCAACGTAAATTGTTGTAAGACATGATTAAGTTACTCATGAAAATGTAAAACAGGCATTAAGAATATGTAGACTAACCTTCAAGAGTCAAATTTCAAACAAAACTCAACCATGATAAATTCGCAAAAACAAACCAACATAAGAGTATTCTGAAACAAAAATATCAAAAAACCTATTTATCAGCCTTGGCAGCAGTAGCTGCAGCTTGACCTCTGAGACGCCCGGTTCTTCTGGCGGCGATAAGACCAACCTTTTGACCTGGTGGTGCATCACGGCGAACCGTACTTGCATGACCAATGTGTTGATGGTTACCACCACCATGGGGATGCTCGACTGGATTCATGGCGACACCTCTAACCTTAGGCCAGCAGTTTCTCTTCACACGGAATTTATGGTATGCGTTACCAGCTTTCAGCATAGGCTTCTCAGTACGCCCTCCTCCGGCAACCTGACCGATCATAGCACGACATCCACTCGGCACGATCTTCTTTGCTCCTGATGGCAGCTTCACCCTAAACAATCGATTAAGGATAAATAATTGGAATGTATAAAGCATAAATCAACCGAGGATTCAAGTTCTATATGTTTATTTATGACGAATACCATACCTAGTGGTGCCGTTATCGGGATTGTGACTAATAACGATGGCGTAATCACCAGAAGCTCTGGCGAACGAACCACGGTCACCGACATGATGTTCTACGTTGCAAACGACAGCTCCCTCAGGGATAGATCTGAGAGGAAGGACGTTTCCAACCATCAAATTCGCTTTCTTCCCACAGAAAACGAACTGACCGGTGTACATGCCCTCAGCGGCGACAAACAGCTCCTTCTGGTGCTTGTAGCGGAAAGGATGACGGAATGTGACGCGAGCAAGAGGAGCACCACGGCCGGGATCGTGGATGATTTCGGTGATGACACCCTTGAGGTAACCATTGCGTTCGCCAAAGTCGAGGCTGCGGAACCTGGCAGGCCCCTTCCGGTGGTGGGTATGGGACTTGAAGACCGACCCTGCTCCCTTACGCTGTGCCCTAATCACACGTCCCATTTCTGGTTTTCTCTTACCTCTCTCTCTCACACGCACACTCGGTGGCTAGGGTTTGGGGACGACGGCGTGTTCTTGGGAGTGAAGATCTTGATATAGGGTTTGGCAATCAGTAAGAAGTAATATGGGCCGAGTTCTGTTATATGGATAATTTAGATGGGCTGTTATATGGGTCTTTGTATCAACCTCGGCCATTTTATTATTTAAACAAAATTGCAAAAATGGTCATGTTATATATAATTTTTTTGGGTTTCAGTTCCAATCACAATTTTTTTAGATTGGTGGTCATTTTTAGGTAGTTTGTTTGGGATTTGGTTCTTCGGTAAACTGAAAATACTAAATTGCTCTTATTTTATTTATTTTCCATTTTTCTTTTTTTCTATAAATATTTATATATAAAAATAAAAATAGAGGCCAACATACTCTTTCTCTCTCTCTCTCTCACACACACTCTTTGTGTGTGTGTGTGTGATAAACTGAATCCCACAAGCCCCGTCATCTCTTTTTACAACTAATCTCCTCCTTATTCCGATGATTTTTCGATGGAACCGAACGACAAGAACACCGGAGCACTGCCACTGACACCATCAAAGTCGAAGCGTTCCAGCAAGTCAAAGCTACCAAAGAATATAAACCCTAACGTACTAGCCCTAATTGGAAAGCCTTGAATTCCCCATTACTCAAATCAGCGACTAAAGTCCAAAAATTAGCGATGAAGAAACCTAATCATATCTCTTCGCCTTCTCCCAAGAACAAGATTCCGGAGAGTAAGTTTGTGGTGGCGAAGGAGAATTCGAAGAGAGACAAGGATAAAACCCCGATTTCAGTTGATTGTAAGTGTAAGGCTAGTGGTAATTCATAAAAATGTTTGTATGTTGCTTATGAGACTCCTAGGGCTTCTCAGGAAGGGTTTTTCAATCGGACTGAAGTTTCTGTTTAATAAGAAAACCCTAGTTTACCTGTAGGTCTTCAAGGAAAATCCGAAGAAGATGACGTTTTTGAGATGTCCGGTAATAAAGGAGAAAGGAGAGATTGTTGGATAAAGCAAGAAAGACAATTCCTAAACCTATATATGGAAGAGTTTTGCATTTGGTCAAGGCCTTCGAGAATATTCTCACATTACCATATTCAATTGAGGATGAACTCGAAGATCAGACAAACAAAAATCTTGAAAGACGATTCTCTTCTACTTCATTCAACCCATCTGATCTCTTACTTACTGCAGAAAATATAGGGTTGTGTTCTTCACTTGATGGCAACCCTGGAAGGTTGGTTGGTCATCATCTAAAAACTATGCTATGAAATTTTTGTTAAAGCAGAAGAAACGGATTCATCATCTTAAAGTTTTGAAGGTAGTAGATCGAAAAGACGAACACTCAAGGCTACATCCCAGTCCATGAAGAAAGTTCACTTATAAGTTACAACACATGTACCTTTTATAAATTTATTGAATTGAGCACATTAACTCATGAATCTGCAACATTTAAAGAGGAAGAACAAAACAAGAAGAGTTCGTGAAGAAAGTCCAGTAGATGATAATTCAACAACAAAAGCAACGGATTCCCATCCGAGAGAGAGAGAGAGAGAGAGAGAGAGAGACAGAGAGAGAGAGAGAGAAAAGAAAGAAAGAGAGAGAGAGGGGGGAGAGAGAGAGAGAGATGTGGGCCCAAATTAATTAATTATTTTCTTTTTCATTTAAATTAAATAGAAAAAACATAAAAAAAAATATCATAAGGGCATTACATTCATTTCAATTTTATGAGGGATCAAATTTACGTACAAACATGGCCAAAAAGACCACGAAGCCAAAAAAGTAAGAGTTTTGACTAAAACCCCAAAAAATGCATACCACAATTACCATTTTTGTAGTTTTGTCTATTATTTATAGTTTGTTGAAATGATTTGTTGAGTTTGCTACCTATAATATTAAAAAAAAAAAAAAAAAAAAAAAAAAAAAAAAAAAAACTTTTTCTTTTTAACCTTATGTGTATGGAGTAATTTTATTATTTATTGGTATGGTAAAAAGGTAGCTGATTATAATATTCGATTTTGGTTGCAATGATTGAGATTTATTAAACGTCCATATTGTTGTTAGGAGTTTTGAAATCCATTATTTCTTGTAATGATAGAGTTATATCGCATCGGATATCAAAATTTAAAAGTCATGAGGTAAGGGTATACATTTATATGAAAGATTACTTAATGGTGGAACATATATGACACCTGGTAACATTTGAAGGCCCGATTGAACATTTTAAAACAGAGAAATTAAAGACCTTCAATTAATTTTATTTCCGAAGAATTGGATGGTCTTTGTGAACATACATTTTATTTTATAGGTAACATCGATAAAGCTACGCGAAGGCTATGAACTTAGAAATGGAGAGCAATTTGAATCCCTAATCAAATAGTTTGTGATTAAGAAGTGGGAAAAAATGTTTTATCAACTAATTGTTGATTAATTGGCAAATTACCAAATCTCATGTTGTCATAGCACTAGGTATAAGTGTTTTGAAAATACGCTTTAACAACCAATGGCTAATGATGATTACGATAGATGGTCTTGCTAGGATCTTCCTATATTAATAAAATAATAGTTTTAGTTGTCACATGTTATTCTATTACGTATGTGTATTTATTATTTGCTACATGACAATTTCTTAGAGCTCCTATCTATAATCATATCCCCTAAAATTAGAGTTTTTGGCAAGATGGGTGTTTCTAGAAAACTTATTTACTCAATGGGTATAGTTTTAAAAGTGTTTACCAATTAAGGTTATTTTGTCATTTAATAAAGAAAAAATAATAATGGTGCCCTAAAACTTTTGTTTACTAAACAAGAGTCAAGGAAAGACGCAAGCAGGAAATTGCACTCCATCTATGGATGGCATCATCTCTGATTCGTCTCTCTCTCCGATTGCATGTCATGCGTTGATCACAACTACAGTCAGTCACCACTCAACCTTCGGCTATACCAGACCACACCTATGTCAATCCTCCAACCCATGATTCCATCTTAGTTTCGAAATTGAACTCCATTCTTTGATTCTAATACTTTCATCTTTTTTTTCTGAATGGAATAGATGTTGGCTATAGCAAAAAGATGATTCTAATTTCAAAGTTTGATTTCAAAATAGATTTCTTATGTTAGATTTCTGAGAATTATTTTTGTTTACTGATTTATGAGGTTTTGAATAAAATAAGGTTTGATTTTAGATTGCTTGCGTAGCATCCTAAAAATTTAAGTCAATTTAAAACTTTTTAAAACATTTAAAACCATTAAGTTATTACAATTTGTTTTCAAAATAGTTTAATCATCAGAGCATTCCTAGAATCCAATAATAAAATCATGAGATATGAGGAGCTGCACGATCATGCCTTCGCATTCTCGCGATCATCAGAAGTACTTGAAATATAACCAACAACTGTAAGCCCAAAGCTTAGTGAGTTTCCCCAAAATACCAACGCCATACAAATATAACCATATCATATCACAAATACATAACATCATGCATAATGAGCCTTCAGCCTGACTGGACCGCCTCGCAGGGCCTACAACCTATCTGGACCGCTCCCGAGCCTTCAGCATGACTGGACCGCCTCGCAGGGAGTATAGCCTATCCGGACCGCTCCTGAGTTTTCGGCATGATCGGACCGCCTTGCAGGGCCTGCAGCTTATCCGGACCACTCGTTGGGTATGTATAACGCCCCGTGTCTGGTACATAATTGATCTACTTTTATATCATTTTGTATTAGTGACTCGACGAGTGGCAACCCTAACTCGTCGAGTAGATGTGCGGTTGGGATGTGGGTTTAAGTAATCTACTCACCGAGTCCGCGCTTGGACTTGACGAGTAGGTCGGTCTGGATGAAACCCTAATTAAAGGGTTTGCACCCTATTTAAACAACATTATGAGCTTCAAGTCCAGCCTCCATTGCCTCCAGAGCATTTCTTTCGAAACCTTAATTCACTTTTGGCAAGCTTTAGCTTTCTTGGTGACTTGGAGGGTTTTTGGTGCATTGTGTATCTAGTAGAATAGTTGGAAGGAAGAAGGATCAAGAAAGAAGGACTAGATCCAGGAGCAACATCAGTTTCTCTTCACTTTCAGGTAATCAAGCTGATATGTGCATATTTAGTTTGTATTAAGTATAGATTTTTATTCATTTATTAGCTAAATTATTGCATTTCATGGACAAAAGGTACTTAAAAGTGTTTGAATTGTATTTTTAGTCCAAAAATGAAGCTCGGAAGCAAAAGGAAGCAGGAGAAGCGGTTAGGAGCTCGGGAATTGGATAAAGAAGAAAAACACCAAAAATAGCACCTACTCGGTGAGTAAGGCCGACTACTCGGCGAGTCCAAGTGAAGATAATGACTCGGGAACCCAGATGCTTATCGCATACGGATATTGTGAGATGGACTCGACGAGTCGCCACCTGACTCGACGAGTCGATACGCAAATATATAAATAACTTCTCAGATCGAAGAAAAAAACTTCTGGGACAATTCTGGAGTAATTAGTTGCGATTCAGAAGCCAGAGAAACCCTAGAAGACGAAGATAGAAGCTACAATTCAATCCCGAAGGAGATTTGAGGCAAATTCCATCATTATACTTAATCTTTTGTTTTCCACTATGGTTAGACAATTAGAATTCTTTTTTGTGTTGTTATTTACTTCAATCATGAGCTAAAACTCTTAAACTTCTGTTTGGGGATACAAAATTGAGACTATGGTTTGATTATTGGTAGGATTAATTGAATGTTGGTGATTTATTTGTTATTTTAACTTGCTAAAGAACCTTGTGTGCGAGTGATAATTAATTTTCTGTTAATAGGAAGGTAATTAAATAACATGAATATCGTTTGATTATCAACCTCATATACCTTGTGACTACTTTGTTATATGTCTAGGACTAATGGACATGAAACTAGAATTAATAAGAAAATTAAGTAAATTCATGTGCAAGCTTGTGTGATGACCATCAACAAGAAGTTAATTAAAACCAAATTGATTAACTATTGTAAGTCTAAAGTAATCCGAATAATTAATCTAGTGAACTAAATTGAATTAGACAACTAATCACTGCTTAAATTAGTTTATTTGCTAAGGATTATTGTAGTGAACGCGAACCTAATCACTTGAATCGGTAACCAACAAAAGAATTAATTCATTGCACTATTACCTTGAAATCAACCATAGGATCAATTGAGTTGAACTAAATAGAAGTTCATTTGTATTATTGAATCTAGTTAATTCTTTGTTTTTCTAGTTTTTAGATTAAGTAATAGTTAGTAAGTTTCTAGTCTTGTAAAACTAGAGAAAACCCTCTACTTATTAATTAATTTAGATAGAATTAGTTTTTATTTTTAATTTGCCATTCCCTGTGTTCGATACCCTACTTGTTTAAACTATTCCACAATTGATAGGTACACTGCCTTTGTGTGTTTATTTTACAACTAAAAGTAGGATTAAAACTAAGTGAGTTTACGCATATCAAGTTTTTGGCGTCGTTACCGGGGAACGATTCTAAATATAGCATTAAATTCTAATTCAATCGATCTTTTGTGTGAGATTTATCTTACACAAAGTTAATTACTGTTTAATTTAGTAAGTAGTATATATATAAAAAAATAATAAATAAATAAATAAAACCCTGATTTTACCTTGGACTCGCCGAGTGCATTCGCGCAGACTTGGCGAGTACGACGCTGAATCAGCTTTAATTTTATTATATTTTTTTGTTCTTTTTACGCGTTTTCTGTTTTGTTTGCAGTTGTTTCATGACCCGAGGATCTGATACACCTCTGGTCCCCCCTCTTGAAGATCCGGAAACCGCACTAAGAAGGAGCAAAGGCAAAACCGTTGGAGAATCCGCTTCTTCAAAGAACTCACCACTCAAAAACCTCAAGTCTGTCTTCAGCAAGAAAAGGAGCAACAAATCAGGAGCATCCTGTGCCTCGTTGACAATCGAAGATCCAATTCAAAAAGACACCGAGTACGAGACCGAGGAAGAGGACGAACCCACATACGAGCACGGATCCGAGTTTGAAGACGATTTAGCTACCGCTATGGCTAATATCGATGAAATCCCCATGGGGGAATGGAAGAAGAGGATGCGTGATGACACCGGCCCGGGAGTTGTGCAACCCGCAATTCCCGCAACCATTACTTTCGAGCTAAAGGGCCATATTCTCGCTCAACTCAAGGAGATTCCTTTTTACGGGAAAGATCACGA